GACCCCGACACTCACCCTGCTGTCGTTCCACGCCTTCGCCCTTCCATCTTCGCCGGATGATACTACTTGATTATACGATAACAGCGGACCGGCTGTGTTTAACTTTCGGCCCGGCAAGAAAATGAGATTCCCGATTGCCGACGTCGTCGGATTTATGTTACGTGCGCGACGATATCTCGCCGCCCGTGCCTCGCTTTGTCTCACCGTGAATCCGGTTGCCGATAATTACGAGTGTTCCCTTCGTTAGCGGTCCGCGCATTTTTCTGGTCGCACTCGCAGATTTACACTCGGCGACAACGTTCCCCAAGACCGAGCTCTAAATTGAGACACGCGGCGATTAAGAGAAAGTCGTATATATTAGAAACAAACGTGTGGGTGCTTGATGAAAAAAATGATCGACGTTACAGGATTGAGGTGCGCTGCACTTGCTCCAGTGACAGCCGTGAGAAAACGTAAAAGATTAGAGATTGTTACAGGGAGAGAATTTTCTCTTAACATTTATTCTGAAAATCGTGTGATCGTGGGACGCGGAATTTTGAAGAACTTTATGAGAGTTTCTTGAAATTTTACCATACATTTTGCTAGTAAAATGTATAATAACATTTGTAAAAAATTCTCTCATGAAATTCTTCGAAACGCCACGTTGTCCCACGATTGTTACACATAATTTTCAGGATAAAGTTTAAAAGAAAATTCTCTCCGTGTAACAATCTTTAATTTTTTGTATTACTTATATACAGCATTTCTAAAGCACTCACAGATTTCTTGTTGACACGGGGTTGATAAGTATTCTAAGTATATTCGATGAAAACCTTAATGGTAGCTTTTAATACGAGAAAGTAAGAAAGCGCGACAGTCAAATTATTTCAACGTAGACAATGCAATTTAGACAGCTTTAATAAGAAAATATACAAGAAGACAAATCTTGTAGATCTCTACGATATTAACGAGAAAACTGAGTCAACGAAATAACTCCATGAAGAAATAACAATGCCCACGATGTGCGCACGACATGACTAATCGCTTGCACACATCTGTATATATTTATTTCTAATTTAGAAAAAAGCCGCGTCGCACTGTGGTCGTTTGAAAAATTAATATCGTAAAAGCGGGCACTTTTTTTACTGGCGCTATTCGGAGCGGAATACACCGCGCGGATTTCGACCGCGCTCTTGCGAAAACACTCCGCTCCGGATAAAGAGCCGTTGGGAAAATATTAACTCTGCACAATAAACATTTTATTTACCCGTTGCTCGGGCGCATGCGTTCAAAGGAAAAGTTTCATCGCGACTGCATTGCCGATCGTGTTATTTTTTCCGAAACTTGTTTTCCAGTTGCATCGTACGTTACTACCCGTTTCCATCGTTGGAACAGTTATGATAAAGCTATATGTTATCGTTAATCGTCTCGGGGAAAAATATTTGTTAGCATTAATTGTCCGGACGAATCGGTTAACAAATTTTTTTTCCCCCCAATATTTTCGAGCAAAATTTACAAGCGTATGAATTATTGGAGATTATTGCTTTTCCCCTGATTGGCAACTGCCCCATTCTCTCGGCAATGCTTGCAACCAATTTCAATCCTGATCCGTTTTAGGAGCGACAGTATTAAAATTTATAGACTCTTGCTCGACATTACGTCGCAAAACTACCATTTATTCGAGCTATCACGAGCGCGATTCTTGCGAAACATTCGCAAATAATTAATAATTTGAATAAGTAGACACAAAATGTACAGTCAGTCTTTAGCAGGTTGTTGCCGGAAGTCATGCTGTATGTTCGATATTAAAAAAAGATGATTTGTTTACGCGAAGACGCGAGAGATTTTTTTTTTGAGCGGAAAAATACGCGGATAACGGAATAAAACATCGAGTCCGCGAGAAGAGAGTCTATACGTGTGTATCGATTAGTCGTTGAAGGAAAAAAAAAACGTCAAAATTATAAGCGCATCGATAGAATGCGGACACGCGGATACGCGTCTCCTCCCTATCGTTTTGTTTCGCGATATCATCGTGCGATGTTCCCCAAAGACGCCGCAGAATTAATTCGAAATGTAAAATGTTTCAAAACAATGTCAAATCTAGCTGTGTAACTTTAATAATAATTTCTAATTTAACAATTTAATTCGCGGGGCCGCCTGAATTTTCGTGTTTTTTTCACGCACGCATTTTGTATTTTTAATCTCGGTGTAACGAGCGGAAAAAAGAGGACGTGCGTCACTCGTGTCATCGGCGTCACTCGCGTCACCTTCGCACCTCAACGTCACGAGCGTGATCGCGCGAGGGCCGTTCGATCGTGAATTATGCGCCGTTGAGAAATTGTTTGCGGCCATCGGGGTTGACACGCGACGTCCCGGCCCGTGTTCATGACACGTATTCGAAGATGACGCGAAAGGACACAAAATTTGTTATCGCGTCACAGGGAAGGACATTCGCGAAGCCGAGCGGCCGCCGCTTCTCGTTTCTCTCCCTTTCTCCCTCACGACCGTCCCTCACTCTCTTTTGTGCATCGACCGCACAGGATGCGAGAGAGCGAAATACCATCTCGAACGACGATTTTTACGAACGGGTAGTTGTTGGCGCGAATAAAACATCGTGCAATGGACCTCCGCGGTAAAACAGAATAAAAAATTATTCATAAGTCTTCCACCCCCCCCCCCAAAAAAAGAGAGAAATTGTGCTCGCAGAATTGGACTGACAATGAGTGTCGTTTGACACATGGTGTTTTCTTCTTTTTTCTTGTTCATCGATACACATCGATCCATTAATAATTGATGCGTCCGACGAGAATTCCGGCTTTTTATTAATGCCGAGGATGGATTGATGTGTATTTATGAATATAAATAGCATAAATATAACAATAGCGAAAGGAAGACACGTCACACACCGATGTGTAAAACTACGCGTAAGTTAAAGTGCTCATTTAACGCTGGCGATCGTATTCAACGGTAATCTCGCAGCTCTAAAAAATGATTGGTAGCTGCCAATAATAAAAAAAAACGCACACGCACCGCGTTATTTCAGATTATATTTACGCGAGAGCCGCGGTATTTGTGCGCGCGCGCGCGCGTGTGTGTGTACATTTCAACTTCGAGATGATTTACCGCGAATGGATTTCCAACAATTCAAACGCGTTCGACGATTCTTCTCGCCCGCTTCCCCTTTTCAGCTTCCGTCAAATTGGTCACGATGGGGGGAAAAAAGCCCAGAAAAAAAGAGGCCATCCGCGCGTTCGCTCGTAAGATATTATCGCGCGCGGCAGTGGCGTGCGCGGGTCGTTTAACTTTCGAAACCTGCGATACGTAATTTTTTTTTTACGAATATCAGCAATCGCCGCCGGCGATAAGCGCGCGCGCGCGCGAAATTTTTTGTAAAACCGAACGACCGCCCGGGCGCGAAATCGAGTCGGGAGCGAAATATCGATCTCTATCGCGTTCAGAATAGAACAACCTGGTTTGCGGCGATACGTAATTATAGCGCGTATATCATTAGACACGCAGGCTGATTTTACGTGATAATCTAATAACAATTTGCGGAACACGGTACCCGCCTTTTAATTCACCGCGTTACGAGGCCGTGACCCATTTATCCCGCCTCGCGCGCGCGTAGCGCACGTGAAAATTATCGAACGTAAAGCAAACGCAGAATAGTTATGTATATGCTGTCGTAAACTGAGCCCCGTCCCCCGCCCCTCCCTTCCTCGAGGGGGGATTAGGACACGATTACCCCACGAAATGCATACGCGTTATCAGGCGCAGCCTCAGGTGTTGCAGCTACTTCGAGTTAAGTCGGTCTTGTCACGCGAACACGCTCTCTACGTGTGTCATCGGTAATTGCGTGGATTTAATGTCAGTAAATGCACGGCGCCGAATATCAATCTCGCCGCAAATGCGGTTGCGACGTCGGCCAGGCTAATATTAAAGCTGCATTGTGATTAACGCGCCTGCTGATAGACGGTGTCGAATCGTTTTGTATTCTCGCGCGCGAGTTAACGAGTCGTTTCTCACCCAATCTAAATCATTCACGAGAACGAGCGGGAACTTAGATGTAAATCGTTAAAGTTTGAATTATTAAATGCGAACGGAAAAAAAAGCACCTCGCGAGCGATTGGGAATTCGATCGTAAAGACGAGACTCAGACATTCGATCGGCGCATCAGCGACGGCGGGAATTCGATCGATCACTCGGCGGACGTTCGGGATGGCGTCACACGCTCGGTCTATCGAAAAATCACGACCTCAAAGCTTCGCGGCCGGTCTTAAAAACGCGAGCGGAAAGAATCGTCGACAAAACGTCGGAGGAGTGCCCGGTAAACGTTTGTCGTTTGCGAACTATTTGAGACGTAACTACGCGTACACGAGCGAAAGAGCCTCCACGAGACCGTTAACGGTCGAGAGCCGTTAGACCCCAGCTCTCGTTCGGCTTTCCCTCTTCTTTCGCTCTTTCCCCCCCGGTGCTTTTCTCATTATCCGCGGGTAATCGTATCCGCGGTGCAATCGCACGCGACCGGATCCGTATAATCGAGAGCAAGGCTCGCGAGTTTCGCCGAGTGGGCTGTTTCGCCCCAGAAGTCTACACAAATTGTGTGCGAACATGCGCGTTAACTCTCTGCGCTCGCAAGCAATCACGTCGAGCTAATGATTAAAAGCGCTTTATCGAACGATCCTCTTTTCCTCGCCTCTTTCCGTGCGACCAAAGTGTTAGAGGCAACGAGTCTTGATTGATAAAAATAATGCGTAATTCCTTTCCACGTGATGTAACGCTTTCAGCTTTATCCGGTAAACACGCGACGAATCGCACTTGCGCCAATCCAATGCGTTTACTTACTATACTGAAATTTATATCTCTCACGTCGGGGTAATCGAAAAACTCCGCTCGCAAATACGGCAGACGGCGCGAAAACAGTTCGAGGGGAAGTTTCCGGTTAGCTGAAACTTACCGCCGATATTCGTCTTCACTTAAGCCAATCTCTAACTCTCATCCCCTTTCTCTCTATGTCGCAGTGGCTCGGTCTGGGCATCATGGCAGTGGGCGTCTGGGCATGGACCGAAAAGGACACCTTCAACAACCTGTCCCGCCTCACGAACGTCGCACTCGATCCAGCATTTATCCTCATTCTAGTCGGTGAGTAACCGGTCTTTTTTCTCTCGTCCTTCCTTGCCTCCTCCCCTCCGCTCGCTACGCGACTCTCGGAGAGTCGCACGGAGAGTTATAACGGCTCTCTTTGAGTGGTAGCGAGTTAAGCTTCAATTTTAGGAATTTCCACAAGAATGTTCTTAGGAAATCCTCTAATTATAAATACAATACAAACAATGCTTTACTCCACTGGAGAGCGACGGTAGTTATCATTTATTTTTATTTCTATGACCGGCTTAGAAATGCTGAGCATTTGGAGGAATTACATCGGGGCTATTGATTACGAGTAAATAAACGAGAAAGATTGGAAGAACACGCTTGTTAACTTCCAAAAATCTTTCTTTTAAATCTTCAAATATAAATTTGGAGTGAAATGGAAACGAGAACGCGACTTAGGTCCGGGCAACCTAAAGGTAGCCTAATAATTTAATGAATTTGCATATTAAATTTAAATTATTAGGCTACCTTCAGCTTGCCCGGACCTAAGCGGCGTTCCCGTTTCAATTTGACTCCAAATTTATATTTGTAGATTTAAAAGAAAGAATTTAATTTAAATTCAAATTTAATATGTGAATTCATTAAATTATTCGGCTACCTTCGGCTTGCCCGGACCTAAGTGGCGTTCTTATTTCTACGATTTATATCTTAAAGGTCCTGACTTAACTTGTTTATATTCGGAATATTTTAAGTATTTGAACGCATAATAGAGATATGTTTATAATGTCCAATTTTCCGATGTAGAAAAATGTGAAACGATATTAGAAGCGCGATGATTTTCATGGCAAAGAATGAGAATGAAGCGTAATAAAGGAGGGGAACTACTACCATAATGCGCCGGCTGATCATGGTAAGAATCGCAGCTTTCCGACATTCGGTGGGTTTCTCCCGGCAGTGGAGACGACGATCGCAATTTTTCCTCAGGACTGCCTGCGAAGGGGCTATCGTTCCCGTCGGCGGAAACATTTCGCACGGCCATAACTTGATTTCTGTATTAACGCCGCTCGGGTGGTCTCGTAATGGTTGCCCGAGGACGACATTCGTTCTAATTCGTCCGCGATATTTCGCGCACTTCCTTGACGCGGAAATCGCGTAATGCGCCGTCCGACAATAGCGCGGATTTGTAATTTGGATAAGACCCAGAGCGCCCTGTAGTTTACCTCGCCGAGAAGTGAAGCACGGCGCGAGCCGGAAATTAAGGTGTCTACAGAGTCGTGAATTTTCCGAATAGTTTAAGTTTTCCGAGAGAAACAAATTTGTTACAAACCGCATACTTTTTAACTTTTCCTCTCTCTCTCTCTCTCTCTCTCTTTGCTGTTCAAGCACGGCAAAAAGAATCCGCCGTCTAAGTTAACGTCGCGAATTCCGGGAAACATCCTGTAGATGCCTTTCGGAAATGACGGATTTAAGGGAGCGACGTAGCATTGAGTAGAAACAGACTATTTACCATTTTCACTTCTTATAATCATTCAACCGAGCAGACAGAGATATAGCCATCGCGGTGCTTTGAGGTTCAGCCGCTGTCTGAAGTTGAAATTCAATATCTCATCGTCTTATATTATTCCTGCAACGCGCTCCGCCCTTCGCTTTTCAGTGAATAACCTCCGTACAACTGCGCATTGGAGATTTGAAAAATTCTCATCTCGCTAGTCTGATTTACGGAACGCTTCTTTACTAATGCGTTAGAGGGCTAATAGCAGAAAATTAATGCGGCGTAAGTAACGAGAAATTTATTCGCTGTAATGTAATTATTTTTCAAAGGAGGGCGACAAGAGAGACGGCATCCTATCATTACCAAGAAAAAACTAGCAATTATTTGTTTTAACGTTCTATGACGCGCTTATTATGACGCCGTAATAGCCTTTTATGTTCGCGGGTGGTGGTAATTTTATTCGTTCACAACTGACAATTAACAATTACATACAAATTTTTTTTTCCTTCCACGAGCGGATATAGTTTCGTTTACCAAGTAAACATTTATCAAAGCGTTTCGCGGAGCGTGTTTGCAACATAATAACCCCATTTCAATTAACACAACGCTCATTGAACGGAATGCGAATGAGGGAGAGGAGGGGGGGGGGGAGAGAAATAATCGGTAGTTTCCCGGGTGAATCGCTCTCTCGTAAACCATCGAGTAAATTAGGTGGAATGATGGAATGAAAAATAATGTAGCCGGAGCCGTATAATCGTGATGTATAGATGATACCACGTGCGTCCTCGCCGAATACGCGGTCTTATGAATCGGCGTCCCAAAGGTAACGACACAATTCCCTCGCCACGAGGGTGGAAGATAAGCTACATGCACGCGACATTACCGGCCATTAAAGGGTGCGTTTTGCTGGCGCGCGAGAGGAAGGGCTTTTTGTCGGTCGCGATCCTGACATCCTATTTTCACATGATGCCTCGCGGTCATTAGTGTGCACAAGGTGCGTCTCCCAGTATTGGTGAATACCAGAGACCCTGTAATCAGAGACTGGCCATAAGAGTACGTCAAATTCCCGCGAGTGAGAGAGAAACATAGGCCGTCTCACGCTTCCACGATCGTAGAATCGTAGAGTTTGACGAACTCTTATGGCCAGCCTTTGATTACAGGGTCTCTAGTGAATACAGGGATTACCCGTGAAAAGTCCGAGTCGAGTTTCACGATGACGCCTGGAGAGCAGGATTGTTTTAAACGCCGAGACACATAAGCAACCGTCAGAATCGGATTTTCGTCGAGAAAAACATCCAATATACAATTCTCGTCGAAGAACCATAGATATTACTGAAGCGCGGAAACTTGCAGGGATTCCGGAGGGCCGGCGGAACACTAATTAAAATGGATACGGCGGGTACGGAAGGGTTAAGGGCGCGCTGACAGAAAGCGCGTTCGCCGCGTCCCCCTCGATACGTTTCCATTAACCATCACAGACTCTCTCTCCGTTTCGCGACACGAATGTAATATTCCGTCGGCTAATACACGTGCTCTACCGGCAAATAGACGCAGATTGCGCGCTGCGGTCCTTCCGTTCTCTCCCTCTCCTCCCCCCCCCCTATCTCTCTCTCTCTCTCTCTCTCTCTTCCTCTAACAGGGTGCCAAAGTTTTAATTGGATACGAGCTGGCAGCGAGGCGACGGACATAAAATTAGGACGAGGTCCGATTTATTTCGCCGGTCCTCCGAGTTGCAGACGTCACGTTTTCGGACAAGGAGGATGACATTCCGAGACTCCGCTGCTGCGGGACGTGACGCCGTGAACCGGATTACGCGCCGGGCGTGTACACGTGGATTCCGGGGGATTCCGCGCCCCGGAAAGCCGCTCGCGCGCTTTCGAAGCGGTCGCCCGCGCGCGGTTTCGCCGAGCCCTAACGGCGAGAATGCTTCCGGGAATGCCCGGCAACCGAATTCAAACCGGTGCGATGGCTGGCCTGTGGTACGGCGACGTTCTCTTGCGGGACGTCGCGCGGCCCAAATCGAATTTGCACGTGATCCGGCGCGCCGGAAGAACAACGGACGGGGCGACCGCTCGAGTACGAAAGTGGGCGACGATTTGCAGGGTCTCATCCATTTGTTTGCCCCGTGTCCGTGGAAGCGATTCCCTCCAAGTTCGAAGTGGACGGCGATAAGAGGCCGGCTCGTTCCATCGTCGCTAGTAGTAATTTACTTCAATTGTTCATTTGACAGTAATGACAAGATTTTTATTTGAAATTATACTATATTCT